TTAAAAGTTTAAAATTAGAACTAAAGATTTTATTATGGTGCTATTACAATAAACTCAAAATTAACGTGTGTGAAGTAATCTACGGGTGGACAGCTATCAACGAAGTAGAAGTTGATAATGACAGGGAGAGTGTTTTAGATGTTAAATTTTGAACTGGGTGCAGTGTGACAGCGACGTGAGTGTTATACACCTGATGATGGCCGTCTGAGGCCGAAACATGTAGTGTAGGGAGCAAGATCAAAGACACAAGAATATATTGTTTGCACTTGAGACGGAGGTTATATCATTTATCCTAACCCGATTAGTTAACGCAATGTGTATAGAACAATCACATGATCGCTATCTTGCTAATCCGCGCACATAAATCAGAAATTTCAGCTTACTGCCGTTACATTTACTGATCTGGTCTGCAGCAGTTATTAAGAATATGCATTCATACTTTGAAGTAAGGATGCTTACAGGAACTGCATTAATGCGATTCGATGCGATTAATGGAGGGGGAACTGTCATAATGTGACGACAGGCTGACCACTCACCTCCAACTAGTGCCGAGGCCAAGAAAATGAGGGTCTATACCGGTCTCGTTTGTGGCAACCAAAACAACCAAGAAACAAATGCCACAAGAAGTAAATATAAAGATATGGGAACAGCATTTCACCAAGATACTTAGCCAAAATACACCCACCAGCAGCCCCCGAACAGACGACGTCAGGGCATGTCAACCAATCTCACATGCAGAAGTATTAAAAGCTATAAAAAGAACACAAAACAAGAAAGCCGCAGGACCAGATGGAATATATTATGAACATATAAAAGAAGCAAAGGACATTATATCAAAACCACTAACGGGACTATACAACAGATGCCTCGAAACTGGATCCATACCACAAATTTGGAGAAAATCCCTGATGAAAGTACTGTACAAGGGAAAAGGAGACCCAGAAGACCCGAACAACTACCGAGGGGTAGCGTTAGAAAACACAATGTTCAAGATACTGACCAAAATCCTAACTGACCGTTTAACAACAACAGTAGACTCACTTATCCCGGAAAATCAATTTGGGTTTCGGCCACAAAGATCAACGATACAAGCCATCACAGCACTACTAGAAGCAATTGAAGAAGCATTAAGACACCCACGAGGAAAATACCATGTAGTTTTCATAGATTATAGCAAGGCATTCGACCTACTCGACAGGAGTATAATCACAACAAAACTGAAGGAAATAGTAGGAGAAGAGAACACAACAACAAGACTAATAGGAGACATCCTCAAAAACAATAAAATCATAATAAAAGACACGGTGTCAGAATCCGAAGAAATAACCCAAACAAATGGCGTACTGCAAGGGGACCCCCTCAGCCCATTACTATTCAATATTACAACAGCAGACTTGGCCAAAACAATGGAAAAACACACAGGGGTACAATTAATTATGTACGCCGATGATATGACAATTGGAGGAAAAAATATTGAGGAGCTACAGGAAGCCTCCACTACACTGGAGAACTGGGCAAGACAAAACAAACTTCAAATAAATAAAAACAAAACCCAACTAATGACTTTCAGAAAAGGAGGAAGAAAAGGAAAAAATGATGAAATAAAATTTAATGGAGAACACATAAAATCAGTAAAACAATATAAATACCTCGGCTTAACACTGCAGTCTACATCTACAACATTCACAGCACACATAACAGAAAAATGCACAGCAGCCATCAAAGCTATATACACCATCCGAAACCTGCAACTATTATCGCTAGAAACAGCAATGAAAATATTCCATGCAAAAATTTGTCCCATACTACTATATGGCATAGAGATAACCTGGGAAAAACTATCCAAACAAAACCTGCGGAAAATGGAACAAGTGAAGGCAAGATACCTTAAACTAGCGCTAGGGCTTCCTAAGAACACACAATCCAGACTAACATACGAACTCTGCAAGGAAAATTTCCTAATAGAAGAACTCAGATATCAACTGCCAAGCACAAAAAACTCAGAGGAAGTTATCAAAGAAAGAAAACAAAAAAGAGAGGAAATATGGGAAGAGTTCTACAGCACTGATGCAATGACTGACAGAACCTGGACAGGACCCAACAGAAAATTACGACACACAATTACTAGGTTGGCAACACACGGATTCCACCACAAGATATGCAAGAACGAACGTTTCCACGAAGCAAATGACGCGTGTGTGTGTAAACACTGTGATAAAAAGTGCAGTAGATACCACATTACCATATGCAAAAACTTAACCACATCAATAACCGAATACAGTCGCGAATAGAAAACAATTACTCTATGCACATTGTGCGCATTCCCGTATTATATACCGGTCTATACGGTCTATACATTCACAACACCATATGCCTGCATGACTTCATGGCCATTCATGGCGTAGTATATATGGAAATGTTGTCCCTGTGCTTAACTAATTAAGCACTACGCCATGAAGGCATATATATATACAACAAAAAAGAAAACCAAAAGCACCATAAAAATTTCGAAAATAATAACTAATTACGGTTTCATCGGGGCATTTGTCAACGAACGAACATTTTAACGAACTGATACCATGTGATATACATTCAACATAAAAATTTTCGTATTTATCGCATTACTTTATGACTTTTTTGCACCATACCACGACAAACATAACAGAATGCCAACCCCTAAAAATTAAATTATATAAATACTGATCAGATATAAAATCCAAATATAGAAAATAAATTAATGTTTGAATTTCATAAGATGTTATTTCATGATGCGTGAAAGTGTTAGAAATGTAAGAAAACAGTTATTTTTCCATAACTGACTATTATAATTACTATCATGTTGGCGCTCCCGCTCCCCAGAATAAAGCTGGTAGGAATAAGCTGTTCCAATGTTGTCAAAGTCTGTTTAAATTCTACAATAAGCCTTGGGTGAGTGATCAGTGTTCTATCCCATCTGTACAATATATGTTCTGAAATTCTGGTACTAATAATTTCTGTGAATTCTTTCATGAATAACACAAAATGGCGTTTTAAAGTTGATCTAATGATTGTCTCCATCGTGCAGAACGAAACAAGTTAGAACGAAATTTTGTATGATAGATATTTGCATATACTGCATCAAATTACATTCAGATATTTGTAGTGTAATGATGTAGACCTAACAGGCTCATATTAATAAAGCGTTAATTAAAAATTATTTCTTATGCCATGGGCCATTATACAGACTCCCATGAAAACATAATCTGTTAATGAATGCTTCGTTTCCAGCGACAGTAGGTGTCTGATATGGAATCAGAGGAGGACAGAGCAGATGGTGTTCACTTTGCAGGCGACAGTTTGCTTATAACAAACAGGAACTGGAATAATCTACCAGATTCCATTCTTCTTCACATATTTCAGTACCTTTCTGCAAGGGAGTTACTTAATGTTGGACTCACTTGCAGATCCTGGTTCCGTGTTAGTTATGATGAGTTTTTATGGAAAGATCTATTTTCCTTAAATTTCAAAATTGATCCTTCTGTGAAGATTGTACCAGGTAGGTAATATTTAAGTTCTCTCATATGTTTAATGGAAGTTTCACAATTTTTACATCAGGTTTTTTAAGCTTGCTTCTTGTAAAGGAGTCTGCCATTAAAACTTTCGATTGACCTACTTTATATTGTCTTTTTCATATAAAAAATAAAGTTTACTGGTACTGGTGGTTATGACATTTTCCATTTAATATAAATTTATTTTACTGACATGTGTTGTCTCAAGTGCATAATATGAACTAAATATTATTGCAGGTCAGACTGGACAAAATATCAATATATAATTAATGACTTAATAGAACTCACATTTAATTATTCCTTTTGTACATAAAATTTTTCAGTAGGATAGTTCTGACCTGTGGAAAATAGTCTGTCCATTCCTGACCCAAAGAGGCTCATTCAGTAACTATGTTAAAACTCTGAAAACTGAATTATGTTACAGCTATACACTGTAAGATGAAATGCATGTTATACAGCCTCTTATTGTATTTTTACTCCTAAGGCAAGACTTCGTGGTTGGCTGAATACAAGCGGCTCTCTTACCACACACCCGTTGTCCAAACCGAAGTAATGAAAGAGCACTCGCATCAGGTTCTTCATGTCAGCTTTGCCCACAATGGAAAAATGTTTGCAACATGCTCAAAAGATGGATATGTTTTGGTAACCTTAAAGCTTGTGAGATGATTGTATTGATACTTCATTAAGAAAAAGAACATGTATAGAGCAACTAATTGTCTTTTCCATATTAACATGTTCAAGGTGTGGGATTCCAGCTATCCTGCTAGTATCAAGTATTATCATGACATGAAGACTTTCAGCTGGAAATACACTCAATTTTCACAGTTCAACCAATCTGACACCTTGCTGTTGGTATCTGGGGTTCACTTTGGGACACCTCACAGCACATCAGGAGAAATAGCAGTCTTCAGTCTACAAGGTAATTGAAGTGTCCCCAAGCACCTCTCAATATGATTAGATACTTACAGTATTGAATATTATGATCTTCTGGGATGTGAGATGATGTCCTATGGTAGATACCAGAGTTTTGGAGAGACCTGCTGCTTCTGTCTTCAAGGTATGACTGACTTATCTACTAAACATAGTCCCACACCCGAAAAGGCCGTAGTTTATTTTATTACTGAAAACAGATTTCTCATACTATAAGTCAAATCAGTACTTGTTACAGCCAAGTTGAGGAATTGTCTACTTTGGTCGACTGTAAAACACTTGTATTAAATTTATGAGTTGACATAAACAGGCATGGGTCATTTATGTATGTAGCAAAAATTGTAATAACTGACAGTGCCTCCTATTGTCTTCAGCTGGCTTCAACTTGCAATGCAGAGTTATGAACAAGCCATATGACATCTTTGGAACCTGGTACAGTGATCACCATCTACTTTCCGGTGATCTGCACTGGCTCGCACATCTTGTCAGTACTTCTATACTGTGGCTTAATAAAGCGTCACAAGAATCTGAATCGGAGCTTGTACCCATCATGGATCAGCTATACAAGTTCTACAATTCTAACGCCAGTTCCATTCGCGCTGTTATGGTAGCGAACTGTCTGGCTCCATCACCACTTGAATCAGAAGCTGTTTCTTCAGAAGCTGGTGCCCAGCCAGGCAAAGGACCAGATAACTCTGAAAGAGGAAATCCTCCATCCCACAGAGAGATAAACAGCCCATCGACATCAGGTTATGTCCTACCAACTTCTTCAAGAGAACATGAGGACGAAGAGGCACCAGAAGTATTATATCCAGTCTCTTCTAGACTTCAGTATGCACATTTTGTAGTATAATACCCACCCCTCATTTAGTGGAGCTAATTTGTAACTAAAAGATACAATTTTAAATAAACATATACTCTTTAAGAGACATACCTCAGTATTAACAATTCACATTAAGCAATGCGATCTTCTCTGTGTGAAAATGGACTGTTTTGTCTCCACCAACAGGGATATCTGTGATATGCGACACACACAGTATGCTCTCACAGTCTGGGCTTCAGGAGCATACACACTAAGTTGATTCTCACATGACTGATTGCCCGAGAAGATGTCACTGCATTCATTTACTGTGACAGCTTCATGTTATACAGATTTGCATTAATCCTCTCCAACATCATGAACGACTGAGGCTGAAATGCACGTATAAAGCATACATAATTCACAGTATTTGCACACAAGGCTAAGAGGCATATTTGACATGCAGTGAATATTACAGATCTTGCCAAATGGTGCAGAATTTCAAACAGTTAAACCAAAAAATGTTTCCAAAATGAAACTTTTTAAGTATAAAATATACTTATCAAAGAGCATGCTAAATGAGGGATATCTATATTAATGAAGATCATTGTTCTCTTATATTTTTATCTTTTACCTAGATACCTTTTAAGACCATTATTTTGCAGGAGTACAGATTCAGAAGTGCTAGAAAAATTCACTTATAGAATAATTGTTAACACTGTCCAGTGTGGTTCAATTTGTAGATATTTGTTGCAGTTACATGTTTCAGTCAGCTAACCATCTTGAAAAGGCATAAGATCAACATGTTCAGAAACTATTATAAAGTTTGTAATACATACTTAATATTGTGACATGTTGCGCAACCGAGGACCCCTGCCTCCCCAGCGGCACGTGGCGGTAACGTAGCGCTCGCGTAATAGGCAAGTCGTCACCCTGCCACTCTCCCCGTGGTGACGTCACGAGCGGAGCCGAAGTTAGCCGAGTCCCCACAACCTGGTTGCTAGGCAACGTGAGTCAACAGCGGTGACGTCACCAAGGGGTAACAGCTTTGCTAGGCTATACGCCACGTCACAGTAGTGACGTGGCGGGCGACCCTAGCAACAGCAAACGGAATAAAAGCCGGCTGAGCAGCAAGCGAGAGTCAGTGTGTTATCAACGAGTTCTCAGTTTGCAAGTTACGAGCTACAGACGCGTGTGCGAGGATCAGTGATAGTTCGTGATAACCAGTTATATTTGGAGTGTGTAATTCAGCGAGACTTGTATAGCTCCCGCGCTATTAATACGTGAAGACTCTGGAAGATAGTGTTAAGAGATTTTGTTGTAGGGTTTGTAAAGTGTGGAAACCCGTAACATTGTGATAATTAATTGTAGCCGATATTTGTAGATTGTTCAATAAACCAATTAACGATCTCTACGGCGTATTCAGTAACGAAACACATTACAATATATACATATACTTAAATATCTACAAATTGAATCACACTGGATTGTGTTAACTGTTATTCTATAATTTAGTTCACTAGTGTGATGGACCAGAATAAACAGAGTTAAGGTCTCTCTCTCTCATGGCGCTACAGCCCAAATCAGGCCTTGGCCTTCTCCTTGAAACACTTTGTTTCACTTCAGTTTAGAGTTAAGATCACTTATCTTTATTAAAGATCCAGTGTGCTGGGAGATCTACTTGTAGAGGATTATATGGAAAATAAACATGCAGGAAGGAGGATAATATTACAACAAATTTATGGAAAAGTCGGGTTTCATGAGTGATGTGACATAACTATAGATGGTTGATGACAGCCTTCTCTTACCTGTGGTTCCAAGGAGTTTAATGTGTATGTTGTGTAACTGAATTTTCAGACGTCTAATATTGAGACAACCACTACCACAGCCAACTACTTTTTGAATTTATTTTCGAAACACTTCTTTTGACTCCCTGCTTATATATTAGCAGTGCCACTGCTTTTGATAAATTTGCATCACAATACTGGAGAAATCTGAACACCTAAAAGTCTCTTACTGGCCCAATGACAAATCCACTGTAATATTTTATACATGCATACAGCAGTGTTCTAAAAAGATGGTTGCTGGTATGCTCACACTTGATCTTATCATCAAGGTCGAAACATACAATGCAGATGCATGACTTTTGACAAGTTTACTTGTATGTATACTAGCTGAAAGAAAGGGTTACATGTACTCATGTGTAACTGTTTGAAAAGGGGGCAGATATCATGATCCTGTGGGCCTTCACGGCCTGTTACAGGGTTAGCTTTACTTTACTTACGCACACTTATAGATAATTGCTGCCCCTAAATTTCAGTAACCATAATTTCCAAATAACTACTAAGCAATGGATTTTATTTTTACAGTTTTACATTCTGAATAATATGTAGGATGCGTCTACAAGTGAACTTCAAATAATTCTGTGTAAGTTATGTTTCAAGGAACATTACTTCATTATTAATAAGAAATAATTTTCAGGTGCAGTACGCTTGAGGGATCATTCTTAAAAAGGCGTTGCTTAGGTGATGGAATGGATTATGCATGTCCAATCCAATACAATGCTGAGTATCGCCAAGTGGAAACACAAGGGAAGGGAAAAAGTAATGCACGCAGCCTTTCTGACAGCAGTGACAGTGAAGGTAACCCAGGCATAACAGACAGTTAAGAAATCTGATGATAGGTTTGATTCCTGGCATGAATGGCAGTTATGTTATTTTTTACTACAACAACCCAAGTGGCATTACCGCAGCCATCTGGATCTCATTTTTGCTCAAAGGATAAGGTGCTTTCTGATTTATTGTGTGCATAAGATACCATAACTTGTTTACTGTTTAGATTCTGGTGAGAGCGATGAAACTGATGAATCAAGTTCTGGTATATCAGATGCATCGATGGGGACTGAAGAATGTGCTAGTGAGACTGACGATCTGTCTGATCATGCTGAAAAGTACCTTATATTCACCACAGGCTCAAAGACATACACACCACATCAGATAGGTTTTAAACGTATCAAACCCGTGTCTTTCCCTCGTAAGCTTGATCCAGGGCCATCCCTTCGTGAACGCTTGGCTGAGAGAGAGAGGGAGAAACAAAATTCAGGACTCCCACGTCCAGAGCCCAACTGGTTGGTATATGAAGAAGTTGCTGACAAGTTTGACAAAGTTGACCACCTTATTGATCTTCATGGTCATATTATAGGCATGGGACTTTCTCCCGATCATAGGTATGTTGACTTTCCTTAATAGCTAAGTATAAAGGAAATAAAAGGATTTTCTTCTATTATGTACAGAAATTTCATGCAGAACTGTGGTTGCACTGCTGTAATATTTTCCTGTTCTTTTAACAAAACAGGTACCTGTATGTAAATAGTCGTCCATGGCCAAGAGGATATGTGATAAAAAATCCACTTGACCCACCCCCCATTGCACAGGAGATAGATATCCATGTTATTGACCTGGTTACGCTCAAAGAAGTTGGAACAATGCTACGTGCACACAAGGCATACACTCCAAACAATGAATGCTTCTTCATCTTCTTAGACGTGTGTAATGAATATGTTGCAAGGTTAGTTCTACACAATGATTAATTTCAAATTTGCATCACACACCTAGAAAAAAATAATTTAAACCACTGGATATGACCAGAGAATCTATAAACCCAGCCACAAAGTTTTTAAAAATGAATTTTTGCTTTGTTCCTTAGCGGAGCAGAAGACAAGCATGGATATCTGTGGGATCGTCACTATGGAGTATGTCTTGTCAAATTCCCACATATTGATGTTGTAAACTCAGTGGCCTTCAACCCCTGTGATCCCGAGATGCTTGTCACCACTTCTGATGACTATACAGTGAAGGTATGGAGATCCAGAAGCAAAGTCAAAGAACTGGGACTAGAAGATCGTAACTTTCCTAGAGGACTGGAAGTGAGACGGAAAACAAGATGCAGACTTAGATCAGATATCCCTCAGAGTAACCCTACTACAAGCTCAGCACTGAATACAGTTTAAAAATTGATACATAATTCTATGTTAATTGTCTTGGAAACATCAGTGTTCAAACCAAACTTTGCTTGTTCATTTAAGTATAGTTCTCTTTATTTATTTTCCACAAGTAACTTCAGTTAGTCCCAAACTTTATAATGTTTTAAAGCACTGCAATATGAAATTAAAGTGTATGGCCTTGCATAACCTGTAATGGTTTCTGTTTCGTATTCTTTGGCATTTTAAGCAAAAGCTAATAGAAAGGAAACCAAAAGTTGCCAGTTGTGTTCAAAATTACCGTCATTCCTCCTACAGAGGTGTTGCTATTATGAAGTTTTGATGTTGAATTAGGTGCAAAATAGTATATTAACCAGGGAAAAAATTCAACGTCTCACAGAAGTCTTGTAAAACAATATGAGCTCATTAGAATAACATTTCAATTATGGAATTATGATGTGGTGTACACATTTAACAATTAAGAGAACTAAATGTACATTTCCATTAGCCATGACATTTCATGGTAATTGCTGAAATAGTTTTATGTCCCTTAAGATATTTAATTGATAGATCTGAAAAATTTTATGTTTGTCAATATGTCACAACAAAACAGGAAAAGATTGTGAAATTGTGATTTTTGTTAGAGAGTGAAAAATGTTGTACTGGGTTGCATAATTTTCATACAACAGCCCAATATACAGAATCAGCAAGACTTTTTAAATGTAAAATTAGTATTTAGTAATCAATATATCAATTCATATAGTGATGTTCAAAACATACAAGATTGTTCCAGTGCATTCTATTTCATAACTGTAAGATCTGAATAATATTGTTGGATATTTATGAATTTACTGTATCTTGGGTTTAAAAGTAACATTTAATGGTGGTGATATCTCTAAAACTATTTCTCTGAATGCAGCCTAATTAGAGTGCTACCTAGTGACAGAACATAAATATGTAAGCCAGGCAATCTCCTTCCACATCCTTGAGTCTAATCAAGTATTTCTATGCAGTAACATTCTTTTTGTTTTCAATGTTAATATAAAAATTCTGACAGATATCCAAGAAATTAGCATACTTGGGGGTTTTTCTCATGTTAAAATAACTTCCATTAATTGGTGATATTTGCTGCTTTCCATTTACTCTCTACATTAACACAACAGAATAAATTATATGGAAAAATGCAGTTTTATTTCTGTTGTTACTGTTCTTATGTTGTAACAAGATGTATCCAACACTTCTGTATTTTCCATTAACATTTCAACAAGTTCATTGATTTTCATGAAACTTGGAATGCACCATCAACACTCTGCTACTATGCTTTGTGATTTCTTACTGGCAGGAATATAATATGGAGTGTGTAAAGTGCAGTTCACCACATAATCCCAAACTTTTTGTAATATATATTTAAGGTAATTTTTGTCAGAAACTGAAAATAACATGGCAGCCACATGAATTAATTCCACTGTCACCATACAAAATGAGAGAACAAATCTTTTGAGTTTGTGATTGATCACTCAGCTGTGTAATGGAACAATTACACATCCTCTCTTACTGGAACAAAATCATGAATATCTTCCTCAAAAGTCAATGTATGTTTGACAGACATGATTGGTAATCCAAGCCATACCTACACAGCAGAACAGAAATTGAAAATCTCCATAGGATCAAACATAGGCAGTAAAGTAAAAGTAAAGCTATCCCTGTAACAGGCCGTGAAGGCCCACAGGGTCCCACATTATCTAGACAATCAGCTCAAAGATGGCAGTAAGGTTGTCAACCTTATGCGCCAGCCGTGCTTTACTCCTCAGGAAAATTATTTAATTAATTATTGGTACTCATTTCTGTTAGAGGCTGAGTCAACCCCAGGCCACAGTGTGGCTGGAAGGATTAGGTCGACTGAAAAAAAATCCAATGACTTCATCAGGACTTGGACCCGCGACCTTCCGGTTTGTAGCATGGGCAGTGCAGAGTAATTTTCTGTAACCAAGAAATTCTCTCTCTCCTAACTGAACAACATGAGGAACTAGAAATGTATTTGCATGAGATAAGTGGTAGATTCTAAATGTATCAAAGAACTTTCTCTGATATGTGGCATATCATTTCAGCAGTAACAATTCCACCAAAAATCCAAAAAGTGTATGAAACAGGAAAGTTGAAAACCTGTTAAAATGCCCAACTGTTTGCACTGTTCTAGAGATTGTATCCGTCAGAGATTTTTATGCATCTTGCTAATTATATTGTAAAGATCAGGATTCATATCTGCTTTTGCCAGAATTCTTCTGTCTTCAGTGAAGAACATGCTAATTTGTTAATTTGTTTGATTCTCTCAATATACACAACATTTTAGATATTTAAGCCAAAAAAATTTTGTCCTAAGTGATATCATCACAACTGATACTTTTTGCACTGTCTACGCTTAAGTAAAAGCTTTGCTAAATTATTTCAAGCACACATACTTAAGCTTTCTGTTCTTATTTGCTATAATTTGTAATCATCCTGCAATTTCTCATTTCATTCCAGAGTAGATCTCTTTAATTAAACTAGGAAATAAAGCAAAGTGCAGATATTCTGGAAAGATGAAATCTTATGTATTTAATTATGTATCTCAGTAATTTATAAGGAGTTATGGAGTATAAATGGTGGCAGGCAACTCACTATAATGTAATTTCTCGTGATGCCGCTGCACGTGAAAACTTAAATTTTTCACATTTCCACATACTGGATGACCTCAAACTAATACATTTATTATGTGTCAAACAGAAGACATTTCAAGATCACTACCTTCCTTAGTTACATAAGGACTGCTACTATCCATGGATACTTCAGGACTGCTACTTACATTGGTAAATTGATTAGAATGTTCTATGGAGCCTTGAGGAGCAGTACCTTCCATGGAATCTTCAGAATCAGTACCACTCATGAGGGCTGGTGACCAAGCGAAAAATACAGTGTAATTTAAGTTATACACTCTTTTATAATACAGGACTAAAAGAACACAGTAAATCGTTATGGAAAATGAAATGAATATAAGCAGTCGCTAACACAGTAACTTCATGGACGCCCGTGTGGAGGCGGAATCAAATACCTCCACCGTGACCGTGGCTGTCAGTTGCAATGTGACTTTGACTTGACTAACTTCATGGAGCAGAGTTCTCCTTGGGAAGCTAACAGTTAGTCAACTAGTAAAAAATTCCCCTCTTATGGAACCAGAAGGTTCATTACTATGAGTATGTCCACAAGAGTCCATTATTTAACCCTATCCTATGGCCCTCACACATTTTGTGAAGATTTGAATAATATCCTCCATCTACACCTATGTCTCTATAAGAATCTGATACAAGGCACACTTATTGCTGGTTTAGTTAAGCATCACATCATGAAGATGTACAGGGGAGTAGAGGTAAAGCTCGAGCATTCTAAACCTAGCCGCTTGGAGGTGAATGGTCAGGTTCACGTCCCTGCCACTGTATCCATTTTATAGGAGGATGGGTGGGCCTCAGAGGCTGCCTGGACATTACAGAGAAGACAAAGGCATCTTGCCCCTACTGAGACTTGAACCCCGACTCCTCAGTCATCCAGCCTGTAGCCTAGTTTCTATACTGACTGAGCTATTCCAGCTCCCAAAATTGAGCCAGTGGCATGTGGTGTTCCAAGCAGTTACCTAACCAAGTATTAACCATGCCCAACATTGCTTAACTGTGGCGATATAACTAGAACCGCTGTTCAACATGGTATAGATGGTGGCAAAAGAAACTGATTCTGGGACAAAATTAAATATATTTTTAAATATGTTTTTATAAATATTTGTGTTATTTCAAACATTATTATTTTTTAATATGGTTGTCTAAATTCTCCTGTATAACAGCATGGGCTATGCTAATTCTCCATAGTGCAGTACACAATGCCTTATTAAAATGATGGCTCATTAATATATATTTTTCCTTATTAAAGTTAGCCCACAACATTTGCACACATGCACATGGATATCACTAAAAATATTTTTAAGAACAGTTTTATATGAATGGGACCAGATACTGTTGTCTTCTGGTTTATCCACCATTTGGTCTGGTATGTGGGTACCAACATTTTGGAAGAATACTGTCTCCAATTCTACCTTGAAGATGGAGTAGCACATTCCTCTGAAATGTAGGTAACCCCTACAGACAACAAAGAGTCATAACCTAGAAGACCATAATATGAAACATCACTGGATAAGTTGATTCATTTAGGAAAATTCTTTTTCCAAATAAAGTTTTCGAGATACATAAATACAGTAACTTAATCTGATGATTTAGTAATCCATCCATTAAGATCGTGTACGAATCAACTATAAAATCACGAAATATTATCAACATGCTTGAAAAACAGTTTCACTAAAACTTAATTTTTGGGGTTAAGAAATGTATTAAATTAAGATCCATAAACAAAATTCAAATAAGGATTCACACAATGTACTACTAGTTTAATGGCAGTGCATTTCTTTTTTCTATATGCAGTGTCATTACAAAGTAAAATACAGACAGAATGTTCATATATCACAGAGGTTATATACATTTACACAACTTACAAATCACACTACAGTATCTGCAAAATTAATTAATTTTAAACACATTTACAACATTCAACACAGTAAAATAGAGCACACCCAGAACTGAAATCAGAGCTACAATCTCCCTCTGCTTCCTCTACACTGGTCTCTTCACAAGTTTCATGCTGTTACAGTGTGTTCAGCAAGCTATTACAAATGGCAGAAAACCCAGTGCAGGTAGCTACCATATGTTCAATACTGGAAATAGTAATACCACTGCTTTGCTAGGTACATTATGATCATGATATACTTTAAACATCTATATACAAATTTTGAACCATAAACCTAAGAACACTGTTCAGATGAGTGTTCTGTACCTTATGTAACTATGTAATATTACAGACACTGGGTCTTCAATATAGCTTTTGGGACTATAATCATAATGTTTATGACCAAATACACTTTAAAGATGATAATACCTAATTAAGTACAAGTTAATGAACTCAGAACAATCAGAATAATATGAAAAAAGAGATTTGTTTCTGAAAGGAATACATTTATAAATTTTCTATAATTCTGATGAGGCTTTATCACAATTGTACCCAAAGAGCCATTTCTGTGAATACTACTGCATTCTGAGACATGGCACCATGTAGCCCGGTGGAAGTTTACCACTCTTACACGCTGATGTGGAAGGAGAATGATCCTCTGAAACATCGGTAGACTATATGCCCTTACGTCTCAGATGATGGTATTCTTCAGTTATTCACAGTCACTGCTGTGAGAACCTAAAATCTCATAGACATTTCTTTACCGAATGATTCAGAACAAAGCTAAATAATTTCACTTGTGCTATTACAACAGATAAAATGTGTACATTTCCTGTTTACTATAAGAAGTGATTCATGCCAGAAAAAGATCCCTGGGTATGTCATACACACACTATATATCTAAGTGCAGCAGTGAACATATTTGCTATCCATGTACCGCTAACATACATAAAATCTACAGAAAGAAGATACAACCCATGTGATATACTACACAATACACTTCATATACATACCACAAGAGTTCAGTAAGCAGGGTCAGAACTGCATCCAGCACGACTGTAGGGCCTGCTCATACTGGAAAAGGTGTTAGAAACATGAGGCTTGAACCAATGTTGAGGTCTGAGAAGATGCCAAACTCCACTCTCTTTCTACCTTGCTGACAGAGAACTAACATACTGTACATATTGACAAGAGTATGGAATAAATGTCATGACTTTGGGTGTTTTCTATCAGGTAGGCTGTAGGAGACGGGAAAGTTACATTTTACATATGTTAAATATACATTACGCATTATGTACAAGATTCATATTATTTTGTACACCTCTGAGTGGTACCATTACCTCAACCATAATACAAACACAGTCACATTAAAATAAAACTAAACCAAATGCAATTTTCTTTAAATGCATAAAACACCTTATATTTGTACCTGAAGTATTATCTATGCATTGACTCACATTCCCACATGATAGTCTTTCAGCTATCCGACAGCAGTGAAATACACTGGCTTGTTAACCTCACAAGTAGGCATTGCACCAATTCTCAAACATGCACGAAGATTATGTGACTGCCTGCTACGAATCATTTGGCTGGTTAAGAAGGACACATGCCCCTCAAGTCAACTTAACTGCTTGCATTTGTCCCTGACACACAGTCAACGGGCTAACAATCCATACACGTTATAATTTCTCTTCTGAACAGCTCAAGTGTTATGTGCCTGGTGACCATAATCCTTGGCCTCTGCTACTATATTAAACATTCAGTCCAACAGATGATATAAGGGAAACAAAAGAAGACCAGTGCAAGAGACCAAATATCAGAGTGGCATAATTTATTGTCCTACAAAACATAACATTCTGTGTCTATACACAATTGGTTGTCACACTTAGGATTATGGTCTTCTGGGGGTGTAATGCCACCTACTTTGGTATATAGTTACCCAATTACACAGCGTTACATCCCAGAAGACCACAATCCCAATACTCACTACCATGAGAATTGCAAATCTTACATCTGTTGGCCTTAGCTATTCATTAACTCTTTAATTAATGCTAATTCTGGGATGTTTAATGCAGTGTAGTCTGGTAGAAGTTTAACAAAATTGTGGAGGAGCATACTACCTCAATCTTCCAGGAGGCAGTAATCTTCATATTGTGTCTCCATTACAAAGACCAATCAATTAATGTTGTTTACATGAATAATAGCTATTTACTGTGACAACTGTACAAAACATAAATACAGTCAATGGCCAAAATGCAGACATCAAAATGTTAAAGTAGCTGGTACATATAGCAACCAATGTGCTTTAAAGGATTAATACACTATCATGTCTTGTGGTATCGTGAAGACTGTGTTAATATAATGTGCATGGGAAATGCTGAAACATATATAATTAAGAAAATACAAGCCAATTCTTGAGCAGTTACATTCCATATAGCATTATCTTGATGGTGAAGTTCAAAAATACATTATCTCTTGCTACATTCAAGTGCTTGGAAGAGAGGCTTGCTTCCTTTCTGCAAGCCAAGTAATTGTTGCATCTCTACTAGGACTGACACTGGCAACATGGGAAACTTTGAAACAGGAAATGCTGGTGGTAATATTATACAGGACAAAAAGAACCTTAATGTAAAACTCGAAGAACTTAGAGAATACTACAAATTAACTTGGATAAACCTGCATTAAATTGATAAAATTGAAATAAGAAAAGCAATTTCAACTGAAATAGAAGACTAAAAATAGGCCACACAGAAATCACATTCAGATATCATGAAATATAACATATGTAATGTTAAAATATAACCATACTCAACAATATGCACCTAAATGAAACAGCATTATGTCAAAGAGACATGAAATATACAGCGACTTTTTTTTTTGTGAGCACACATTTAGACAGATGAGTCTGACATTCCTCCTGTCAAGTTGGGTCAACCCATAATACAGTCACTTCATGAAAGTTCTGTCTAGAATTCTCATTGAAGAAGAAACCCTGGATATAATGTACAAAGTCAAACAGACGAGATGAGGCTATTTCTGTTCTAAAATGATCCTCATTTTCAAGTGCTCAGTCCAAATATCACACTTAATTACTTGAGGAAATCTCAAGATGATGAACGATACACTAGTGCCTGCCTTGCCTTCATTCACAACACCTTCCATTGGAGAACTGGTTTCTTCCACATAAAGTTGACACACACACAAAAAAAAAGTAAGAAACCGATATATATAGAAAAGCTTGTTCTGTGGGTGATGTGATCAGCACATTGAGAAAGTATGGGTTCAAATTCTATGTGAGTAATAGTAGTTTTTCACACTATTAAATGTCTGATCACGTTCCACTCGGACACATGGTTACACCAGACAGTGATAAGAGGCTACAAACTAAGCCACATGACATAAACTGTGAAATGTACATTATACATCCGAAGTCAAACTTTGCTTACCTCACTCATGGCGAGTTTGTAGTCACTGTGTACAACTTTTCAAACTTGCACTGCAAGAGATATGATGATAAAACATTCATGAAAGCTTACTGCAATGAATTACAATACTTACTACTATTCCTTATTATCTGAATGAATTTAAATATATTCTGCTCAACTTCAATTAGGAATATAGTACTGAAACAATTAATTAGCCTTTATTCTATACTGTCACAAATGTGATCCATTCTTAACAGCAAGAATGTCAGTAACTATAGACCACTGTACGTGCGGTGCAAGGGCCGAGAAGGCCCACCCCTTATACAACTAGTAATTAATTTAATTCACTCTTAATATTCTTTTTAAGTGTCAGACCAGCTCAGTCAGAATACTGATAGGCTATGGGCTGGATGGCTTAGGAATCAGAGCAAGGGCAAGAGGTTTTACTCTTCGCTACAGCATCCAGACTAACTTTGGGACCCACTTCGCCCCCCATACAATGGGTACCAGGAGCTCTTTCTCTGGGTGTAATTGACCACTCTTCTCCATCTAGTGCCAAGGTCAAAAATGGTGGGGCCCTCATATCTTCATACTTACTTACTCATGGAGCTGAGCCCTTCTGGAGGAGCTGCCAATTCTGCAGCTACTCAAGAATTTCCCAGCATTTTATGGAACCCCAAGGTTCATTACTGTTACAAAGACAAAACAACTCCATCCAGTGTGACTACTGAAGTTTTTACTACTTGAAAACTTAACACCTTTACACGTTTCGGTCCCTATAGACCATCATCAGACGGACATCGATACTTTTTGGAAACTACTATCACAATGGGTGTTTTGAGTGTTAAAATACATATACATACAATGTTTGTAATGCACAATATATATAAAATCCAACTTTTCCACAACTACAGCAGCTTTCTTGGTATATTAAAGTTTTTAAAACTTTGTTATTTAAATTAAAATTTATAAACCAAATAGGTTTGTGTCCCTTCTCCTATCGTCTTTCTTGACGGGGGCTGAACTTGTGCCACCTGTTTATCTTCATTACTGTGTTCACAAGAGCCCTCCACTGGTCCCTATCCTCAGCCAGATCAATCCAATCAATACCATCCCGTCCTAACTCTTTAAGATCCATTTTAATATTGTCCACCCACCTATGCCTTGGTCTTCCCATGTCTTCATGGAATGTTTAATTAACCCTATTGCTGTGATACTCAACTGAATATGAACAAGAACTCATTACATTCTGCAACATTCAACTTTAGTCCACACTGAGAAATAATAATCTTTTTCCGTGTCATTCACCTTCATTCACAGACCTTGAATTTAATTTTTTAATATGCTTCCCCTAGAATTGTATTGTTTTAGGGGAATGGTGAGAAAATAATATGCAGCAAAAGGGTTAATTAAGTGCAGGGATAACTTTCCATTACATTTACTTTTCAAAACCAAAACATAAAGTGTATGGTCTCAGAACCATAACTTCCTATCATTAGAAACAGTCTCCTTTAATACAGAATAATCAGTGAAGTTCATGTATTCGGCACAGAACATAAAATGAACGTTTTTTAAAACAGAGAACTTTCATCACATATTAACAACAGGATCATATGTGTCACATCAGTGTTGTCTAAACTATTTTTATCCACAGACTATTTTTGATCTCAGAAAGTTCAGATTGCATCCAGAATCAAAATTAAAATTTTCAGACATGAGGGTAAAAAACATGGGCAGTCTGAACAGAATAATGAAGAGAAGGACAAATCGAATTATATTGTGACGTGTTTGCGCTATGCAGTCAATATCCTGCCCCCTCCCGCGGTGACGTAACACGGGATGCTGCCATTCCTACCCAGCAGTAAACAACTCCTGACAGCGTTGCTAGGCAATCGGCAAACACAGCGTCAGACAACGGTGGTGCCTATTACATAACTGTTTCCTGTGTCGTCCTTAACGGGGCTAAATAAGGAGCAGCGAAGACTATTCAAGAGTTAGTTACGAGTTAGTCAGCAGTGAGAGGAGTCGAAATGTAGCCAACGACGAAGACAGCTGGAGTATAGCAGCAGTCGCAGAAAGAAGAACTGGACGTGTGTGTGATAATCAGTGATAGTTTGTGATCACTGAGAAGGAATTGGGAGTGTGTAATACAGTGACACTTATATAGCTCCCGCATGATTAATACATGTAGACTACTGAGGATAGAGTGGACAGATTATTGTGTAGGGTTGTAAATTGTGTAAACCTGTAACAGTGTTGTAATTAATTGTAGCCGAGACTTGTAGGTTGTTAAATAAACCAATTAACAATCTGAACGGCATCTTCAGTAACAAAACACGTTACAATATTTACACTTGATAGTTTTTCTGTATTGTAGTCAGGAGTACCAAATGCAACATTTCTCTGTTTTTATCACAAATTATATATATAATTAAATTAATATTTAGACTACTGGATTCTCATGGTAGATGCCCCATCCTGCATTCTGATATTTTAAGACATATAATCTTACTATAAAACACATAATTAGAATCAACATTTGGGGCAAACTTTGAGCTGTATCATTGGGATCTATTTTTTCGTATGGAATTCAAACTAACTACACAAGTTGCATACACATGAAACCATAAATTAAATCCTGGGACTGGACTACTTCATGCTCAAAGTGGCCAAAGTATGGAAATATTTCATGGAATGAAGAAAATCTTAAAATCAAAGTTACTTCTGTATAATGCACAACACATTGAAAATTAGGAATAACTCTTTAACTTTAAGTGCTGAAATTCAGCTGCAGTAACAAGAACTTCAATTATTTGAAGATTGTATATATATATATATATGTGTGTAAGTTTATACACCCACATTCAATGGCTGATTCACAATGTTGGTTTATTCTGGGCAACTGCCAAATGAGAATTTTCCATTTTGTAAGTGCATAAGTGCTCAGGGCACTTATGCTAAAACTGCCAGGGCCAAAAAGATTGGCCTGTTAATAAATTAGTACAGCATTTCAGTCAACAGGTGGCATGAAGTGGGAACTACTAATGTTTAGAAGAAGGAATGGGCTTTCACATCATGTATACCTTTGATCATTTGAAGGTAATTTCAGAAATTATGTGGGGTTTTCTGTGCAGTTGCATTTATTCCCAAGCGGTCTTGGCATTTCTAGCAAGTAGCTCTAGAGCAGTCAACAGATTAAGCTGGTCAGTATAGTGGCCACATATTTGAAATGAGACCATCAACTCTGCAAGGCCACATGCCATAACAAAAGCAAACTAACTACAGAACGCTAATGATCCAAATACCTCACTTTATACACTTAGGTTTTACAGTCTATAAAACTTAAATAGGGTATATGTTCAATTAAAGTAGGAACAGCCAAATGTAGTTCCTGAAGTAGTTTTAGCCAATCTGCAGTGATCAAAATACAGTAGAACTTGGTTATAACGTCATCAAAGGGACCTAAAAATAGTGTTGTTATAAACGAATGTCGTTGTAACCGAAATGGGCACTTCCACAGTAGCCTTATGTTAGTCACGTAAAAATCTACCAAAACCGAGTTAAAATGTTGCATTTTTTAGTGAAATACGTAGTTAAGTACAGACTAACGCAACATTAACGTGGAATTGCCCAAATGTGTAATATCAAAGACATATTACAGCGCTTTTCACTGACAATACACACCGCACTAATACTGTATATTAAAGGTAGGCCTACTCACCAAATTACAGTAGATTACATCAATTGTTGTGCCTTGCTGTACCTAGATACGAGTACAGTAATCAGTTATCTTCTTCATTTGTTTCCTGTTACTTGCCCAATATACACTTTCTAAATTACGTTCAATGTCCATATCAGAGAAATTCAGGAATGAAAATTATGTTACATACGAGGTTGATGCATTTGTGCATGTCGTACTAAGCAAGGTATAAGAACAGTTGCTTTATGAGGAATTAGTTCGTACCATTGAATATTTGATGCAATAGACAAGGTGTCGCAGAAACCGATGTTGCTATAACCAAATTTTACTGTACTGCATATTGAGATGTGCTGAATCATGTATCTTCAGTGACAAAACAAAACACAATTCACTGAATTTCTCAATGTTACTCGGGTGTGCTAGGGGCACATGGTAGTGTAGTTGGTTGAGGCATTATGCTACAAGCCGGAAGGTTGCAGGTTCAAGTCCCAATGAGGTCATTTGATTTTTTTCAATTGACCTTATCCTTCCAGCCGCACTATGGCCTTGGAGTCGACCCAGCCTCTAACAGAAATGAGTACCAGGAATTAATTAAAAATAATTTTCCTCAGGAGTAAAGCACGGCTGGTGCGTAAGGCTGACAACCTTACCGCCATCTTTGAACCGACTGCCTAGATAATGTGGGACCCTCAATGTCTCACAATCCTATGGGACTTCACGGCCTCTTACAGGGATAGCTTTACTTTTTACTTTTACTCAGGCGTGCTAATTGGATGAGAACACTTGCCATACAACTGGATCCAGTATTATACATATAATCTGTATAATCTCTCTTGCTTCAGAGTTATAAATTAATATGTATGTTATAAACACATTCTTCTGTATGTTTGATAACATACTAGTAAATCTGAAATGTGATATTACATTGCACATAGCAAAAATGCAGATGTCACTTCTGTTACAATATGCATGACAAAATGTGTGAGACTAGGTAGAAGTTGTAACCGCCTAAATTTATATGCATATTTAATCATTTGTATTTTTTTTTATTTATTAATTGGTTTGAAGCAGACAAGTATGCCGTGGAGCTTGGAATTCTTTTGTGGGGTTTGGAGCAAGAAATCTGAGCACAAGGCAATTTATGTCACCACATGTAAAGTCGAAAGGGGTTCAGTTGGTTCGAATAGATCCTGGGGCTGATGGCGTACAGACATGAAACCCATTATAAAGGATGACATGGCTTTCTTTGGTTTTAACCAACAGAAAAGCCTATATTCAATGTATGGGTGAGGAACTCTGAATCCAGCCAACTGGCAATGAGGAACTTGTGTGACATCAGGCACCACTGCTTGGGAGTGATGCACTGTTAGC